AACTGCGATCTTCCTGATCTCAGCTTCCCATGTAGCTCAGGGTGACAGGTGTGAGCCACCAGCACCCAGTTTCTTTCTTTTTTATAGTAGAGGAATATACCATATTTCCAAAAAAAGGCCTTTCAGAAAAACTAATGAAATCCAAATAAAGTTTGGAGTTTAGTGAGTAATACTGTCCAGTACTGGTTTATTAGTTGTGACAGTGTGTCACAGAGAGTTAGCCATAGAGGAATTATATTACAAGGCAATAATAACTGAAACAGTATGGTAGAAAAAATAAAGACCAATGGAACCAATGAATGTAATGAATGGAACCAATGGAATGTAATCCCAGGAATAAACCCATGTGTGTGTAGTGAGCTCATTTTCAGCAAGAGCTCCAATAGCCAGGCACTGGCACTCACGCCTGTAATCCTAGCCTCTCAGGAGGCAGAGATGAGGAGGATCATGGTTTGAAGCCAGCCCGGGCAAGTAGTTTGTGAGACCCTATCTCAAAAAACCCTTCACAAAAATAGGGCTGGTGGAATGGCTCAAGGTGAAGGCCCTGAGTTCAAGCCCCAGTACTGCAAAAAAAATAAATAAAACACTCCAAGAGTCCACAATGGGGACAAGAAGGTCTCTTTTAATAGATGCTGTTAGGAAAATTTAGTCCACATGGAGAAGACTGGACTCTCACCTCACAGCACATGTAAAAATCAACTCAAAATTTCGATTTAATCTTAAGACGTGGAACCATAAAACTAAAGGTGAACACGGGGAAAGCTCTTTGGCAACGATTTTGGAGATGACTGTGAAAACATGGGCCACGAAAGTGAAAAGCACAAGTGAAAAGTGAAACGCATCAGACCTGAGTTCCTGTGCGGGAAAGGAAGTCGGCGGACAGCCAGCAGGGTGGGGATTCAGAGGCCACGTCGGTAAGACTCACAAGGAACTTATGCAACTCAATAGGAAACCCCATTAAAGAATGGACAGAGGGCCAAAGACGTACCAGACGGCAGGCATCCAAAAAGGCTGCCACAACTCTGACCAAGGAAACACAAAGCCACCATGAGACGTCACCTCAAACCTCATCCTAAGACATCTATCAGGAAACGCCGAGGGTGGAGAAAGAGGTTCCCTTCTGCACCAGCAAGGGGAGTGGACAGCAGTGTATCTGTTCTGGAAAACTGTATGCAGGTCCCTCGAGAGACTAAAAATGGAATTCCGGTGAGACCCGGAAATCCCTTTCTGGGTATGTATGTATTCCAAAGGAAATAAAATTGGAATTTGGGGAAACTACCTGCACTGTCGTGTTTGTTGCAATATTTTTCACAACAGCCCAAACATGGCAATAATTCCAGAGCCTGTCAGTGGGTGAGTGCACAGGGGGAATGTGGTATATACACACAGTGGAGTATAATTTAGCCTTTAAAAATAAGGAAATTCTGCCATTTGATTCTGCAATGTGGATGAACCTGGAAGACTTCATGCTAAGCAAAGTAAGCCAGACATAGAAAAACAGGTAGAGCAGGAGCTCCTCGCGTGTGGGATCTAAAAGAGAGGGAGGTTGGGTCCCGGGCAGGGTGAGGAAGCGGGGAGACCTTCAGTGAAAGGTTTCTGCCTGATGTCTGTAGGTAATAAGTACCACGCAGTTAAGATCTGCGGGGTACACCTGAAGGGTGCTCATCTCATACGGGAAGACGGCGAGGCGACAGACACGTTGGTTATCCTAATGTGCGAATGCGTTCACGTATGTTACGTTTTGGTTTTTTTGGTGGCACTAGGATTTGAACTCAGGGCCTCACACTTGCTAGGCAGGCGCTCTACCGCTTGAGCCGCTCCGCCCGCTCAAGTGTATCAAAACATCGCATTGCACCCGCCAAATACGCACGATTTTGATTCGTCACTCCTACCTTAATAAAGCTTGAGAAAAGGGAAACCAATCCGAGAAGTTTGTATTATCGTTATAAATCGAGAACACCTAAAACTGACCGGCTCTTGGGCACACGTGTTTCATATCGTGAAACAGCACGTGGCCCATGGGGTCAGCGTGGCTGCTGCCCTTGGAGCAGGCGGCCACGGTGCAGCAGCGGGGCGGGGCCGGGCGGGTGTGGCCCCCCAGGGGCAGTGTTGGGCCATGGGGCGATGGCCGCAGGTCCCACCCAGTCAAGCGCACGCCCTCTCCTCTCCTCTCAACCCCGAGGCTTCTGGACTCGCCCTATTTAAGAGGCCGCAGGAAGTGGGGCGCCCTTCTGCTGGGCCGACTGAGGTTTTCTTTCCGCTCCCTTAACGTTGACTCAACGTCCTGCGAGGCAGGACGGAGCTGCAGGTCCCCCACGCCCGTGCTCCCGTCCCCCGGGGCCTGTGCAAGTTGTGAGGGGCCAGGGGCGAGTCACGGGGCGCGCCGCGTCCTGTCAATTCTCACGGGCCGAGAGCAGTTTTAGATGCTGAAGGTGCTCGAGGGTAAAGGAGGCTTTGGTTTTGTGAGGCCGAGCCGCCTGCGACACGGGCTCCGCGGCGGGGTGGCGGCGGGGCCACCACTGCCCCAGCTTCCGAAGACGGGCAATCCCCTGGGATTGGCGAGCATGCATGTGTGCGCGCCTGCGTGCATATGTGTGCGCGTGCGTGCATGTATGTGCATATGTGTGCACGTGCGTGTGTGTGCGCGTGCGTGCATGTATGTGCACATGTGTGCGCGTGCGTGCGCGTGTGTGCATGTATGCGCATATGTGTGCGCGTGCGTGCCCGTGCGTGCGTGTATGTGCACATGTGTGCGCATGCGTGCATGTATGTGCATATGTGTGCGCGTACGTGCATGTATGTGCATATGTGTGCGCGTGCGTGTGTGCGCGCGTGCGTGCATGTATGTGCATATGTGTGCGCATGCGTGCATGTATGTGCATATGTGTGCGCGTACGTGCATGTATGTGCATATGTGTGCGCATGCGTGCCCGTGCATATGTGTGCGCGTGCGCGCGCGTGCTGGAAATCAAGACCAAGGCCTCAGCACGTGTGAGGCGAGCGCTCCAGCGCTGCGGTCACCCGCGTTTAATCAGTAATTAATTAACTTACTGAGTGGCTCTGGGCAGGCATGCTGCCTCGTGAGCCAGGCCTTCGGCCCTTTTGGCTGTGGTTGTTTTTGAGGTAGTTTTCCTCACCTGGGCCGGCCTGGACCACAAACCAACCTTTTTGCCTGGGTGAACTGCAATGATGATCCTCCCAGTCTCTGCTTCCCAAGAAGCTGGGGTCGTAGGCGCGAAGCACTAGTGCCCTGGCGACCGGTCTTTAAACAGTTGATCTGCCAGGGTAGTGTTTTCCACCAACTCGGGAGCAGAAAGCCTCCCCGGCCTCCCTCTCTGGCTTTCTAGGATTCCCACCTCAGCGCTCAGCCTTTCTGCCTCCTTGCCGCCCGCTGGCTTGCTCTCTGGGGCCTTTCTAACTCCCGGTTTCTGATTCCTCTTGGAAATCACGACGTGTCACATCAGCAGGTGACAGCCGCCTGGAATTTGTGCGTCAGGTTCTTTATTTAAATTTCTTTCCACTGTCCCTTTTGTGCCTTCTTCTGTAGAGGACAGTCCAGGTTACCTGTCAAGCGTTCCTCTTGGAAAGGAATGGCGACTTGCATTTTGCATTAAGACATGGGAAACCCTCCCACCCAGGCTGGCCTGTAGATCCCGTACCCCAAAAACCGTGCACCTGACTGCCATGGTGGCGGCTGGCTGCCCAGGAAGAGGCAAGATCAGAACCCCACCTCTTAAGAGCCTCCCGGCTGGGAGCTGCCGGCGACGTGAACTTGGATCCCCAAGACGTTGACCTTGGGCCTGGAGGCAGCCGAAGGCAATCGCTCAGGTCTGGAGGGCTCAGAGGTTCTGTGGCCTCGGTCAGCAGACGTGGGCCTTTGTGGTGGTGGATCCTGAGGGCTGCACCACCCTGGCTGTGGCTCTCCTGCAGCGCTCCAAGCACAGCAACTGATCCATTTCTGATTTTCCGCCCAAACAGCAAATCTTTAAAGCTCACCTGTTTAACTGGGGTCTGCGACCCTTTCAACAGGGTCTTTGAAAGGGAGTGAAAATGCACAGTGTTCACGCAGAGGCTGATGGGAAGGTTACAGTGCCTGGTTCAGTCAGTCCTCACTGCGGCTGCTTAGACCTCAGCAGTGGGAACTCTGCAGACCCTCTGGTTTCCGTGTCCTCTGGATAACAACCAAAGTCACTTTCGTGGGTGATAAGGCCCTGCACCGTCTGGTCCTGTCTCTCTCCAGCCTCTCCTGAGACAGCCTCCTGCTGCTCCCTGGGCGCCCCAGCCTCACTGCCCCTGGGGCCATCGCCATTGTTCCAGGGCCTGCATTTCCTCCATGTGGGTCTCTCTTCCCCGCTCGCTGTCTTGTTATCTTCCATGCATCCCTTATAAATGAGCTCCTATCACTTCCTCACAGATGACAGCTCTGACCTCCTGGTCTAGAAAATTCATCTAGACCCATGCTCCTTTCCTTCACTGTGCTTGCATGTGCTTGTCATTAGACACTCAAGCCAGGCATGGTGACATATGCCTATAATCCCAGCATGAGGGAAGCTGAGGCAGGAAGATAGCAAGACTGGGCTACATATTGAGACCCCCCATCTTTTTTTTTTTTCCCAGTGCTGGGGCTTGAACTCAGGGTCTTCACCTTGAGCTGCTCCACCAGTCCTATTTTTTGTGATGGGTTTTTCCAAGATAGGGTCTCTAGAACTATTTGCCCAGGCTGACTTCGAACCACTATCTTCCTGATCTCTGCCTTCTGAGTAGCTAGGATTACAGATGTGAACCATTGGTGCCTGGCATCTCAAGAAGAAATGAGACACTCACCTGTGGGCTTTGAGTTAATCTGTGCCTCCTCTAGCCGAATATAAACTCTATGTCAGGGATCAAGCCTGCATGTGCTCATCCTCAAATTCCCACATGGGGCAGAGTGCTTGAAAAAAGTCGTTGCTCAGTACACCCATTGAGTGAATAAATGGCTGTCTCTTTAACGGAATGTTTAGGTAGAGGAAGAAGAGCCCACTGGATACATTCGATTTGAAAAATTTCTTCCAGTTATGACCAAGGTACTTCTGGAAAGAAGGTAAGTTAAGGCAATTTTAAGGCTAGGTAACAAGAATTACTTTAACTCTTTCTTTTTTGTGCTGGGGATTGATCCCAGGGCCTCTCTCTTGCAAGGCAAGTGCTCTGTCACTTGAGCTATTCCCCCAACCCAGGAATTACATTAATTGCAAAATGCTTGGCTTTTTATGTTTTCCTAACCCATACACCTTAGGGTAGCTTCCTTTCGCCTTTTAGTTTACTTCTGAATTGCCAGTAGTTATATGCTTAGAAATATCAACCACCTTAATATTTATCTAAGCAAACAAAATTAAAGGGAAAAGAAGATGCAAAAAAAAACCCACAACCTTCTAATTAGCTTCTGTCGTAAATGACCAGTTATAAGTAAGAGTTAATCCTGGCTGGGCATGGTGACACACAGCTGTAATCCAGCACTGAGGCAGGAGGATCTTGGGTTCTAGGCCAGCCTGAACTACATACATAGTGAGACTGTGTCTCAAAAAGCCAAAAAAGACCAACCAATCTTAATTCTTCTTCTAGCGAATGGTGACTGACTGTGGTAGCTTTTACTTTGTTTTGCTTTGTGTGGTCATTTATCACCTACAGACTGAGATAAATACCTGGCATTAACTCACTTTGTGACATGATTACAGATACAGACCAATTCCAGAAGACGTCCTTCTTCGAGCTTTCGAGGTGAGCTTTTGATTATTCAGCTAAATATACGTGAAAAATTCATAGGTAGAATTTATTCACCAACAAAATGTCTACACCTGCCTTTCCCTAGGTTTTAGATACTGCTAAGCGTGGCTATCTTACCAGAGAAGAACTCGTCAAGCTTATGACCGAAGAAGGTGAGGGCACTTGCTTACTTATCTCAGTGACCTGTGTGAGGGGTTGTGACCTCAGTGACCTATGTGAGGGGTTGTGACCTCGGTGACCTATGTCGCCATCTAGCGTCAGCCAGGTTTCCCTTTCCCCTTTCATTTGGACAGTACTGGGGCACAAACTCAGGCCTCTCCCCCGCTAGGCAGGCGCTCCGTCCCCGGCCCCAAGTTCTCTTCCCAGGTGCTGCTCAAATGATTGCACACGTGACCCTGGTACCACCCCAGGGTGGGTAGTGTGTGTGTTAGCTTTCTGTCACTGTGACACAATCCCCAGGGGAGCTCGCTGATAGGAGGAAAGACTTATTTTGGCTCACGTTTCAGTCTGTCTCTTGACCCCATCCATTGCTGGGACCTGTGTGTAGACAGAACGTCACGGCAGCAACACATGACAGAGAGAGAAAGAGAGGAGAGAGAGAGAGAGAGCACTGTAAACGGGGATATGTTGGGAGATTAACTTAGTGACATATTTCATGAAGCACTGAGTGCCTGGTACACAGTGGTGCTCAATAAATGTTGGTTGGTAGCATTCTCTAGAGGACTTACACCAAAGTTCCCCGAGCAGTGGATTTAGTAGTTAATGATCGGGTTTAAGAGAGACTCTGAATTTGTCATTGTAGCGTTTTCGGCATTCTTCTTTGTGACGTGGGCATGATCTCAAATCTTTCATATTACTCTCATCATTGTCATCAGAATCCCTGTTTGAATAGTTCGTGTAGTAACTGAGCTCTCATTTAGAAGGTGCTGTTCAGAGTGGCAGGTGTCTTAGGCTCGAGGCCGGGACCCCTCAGGCCTCAGGGACTGGGCTGCATGCGTCAGGCTCTCCCCAGGACGCTAAGATGGTCTGCATTTTGGTCTGAAGTTGGGACGACGTTCTGCCTGAAGAGTCACAGTCTTCTCAGCCTCCTTCCTGGGCTGCTCACCTCGGTGAAGCCAGTTTCCAGATGGCTCCCAGCCGCTGTCTGAGTCCAACGAAAGCCACAGTCTTTCCGTCCAACGTTTGGTTTCAGCGGACACCAACCCTGGGCCAAACTCTAAAACTGTCCCTTCACTGTGTGGCGGGAACTGGCGAGGGAACACAGGGGTCACTATTGCAAGTATCATGCAAACGTTTAATCACCTCTTCATACTTTACCGAACATAATAATAGACTGCTAATTTCAGTCATTGTTGCTTAAATGAATAAACGACTTTGTCCCCGATTCTTTGTGTCCCCGTCACCTTGGCTGGGGTGATCGACTGCATGTGGCTTGGTGTACAGCTGCAGAGTGGAATAAGTCCCCAGCCTGCTGGGGCGTGGGGTGTGCAACAGTATGCTTTACGAGCCTGGCAGTCACCATGGGCTAGCCTGCAGGTCCAGGGAGAAAAGCAGTGACGCAGTGGGGCCGGTGAGACTCCAGGGCTGCTCGGCTGGTGAGTGGGAAGAAAGGAAAACCCGAGCGGAGTGTAAATGGCTGCTTCCCTTACCTCTCCCAGGTGAGCCTTTCTCTCAAGAGGAAATGGAAGAGATGCTGTCGGCGGCAATCGACCCGGAGTCAAACGCCATGAACTACAGAGACTACATAACGATGATGGTGATCGACGAGAACTGACGTCCAAGCCTTGGCGTCTAATTAAAGCGCAACTTGAAGAACTGCCTGTGTGTTGAGTTCACATCTTATATTATCATTCCCGTGTCTGCTTTCAATGCCTGGTGACCTAACTGTTTCAGGATAATTTGTTTGCTGATGATGGTCAGAACAATTTTGGGGGTTTTTGGTGGTCTTAGGGTTTGAACTCGGGGCCTCACGCTCACTAGGCGGGCGCTCTACCACTTGAGCCACTCCGCCGCCCGGTCTGTTTACTTGATGGCTATTGTGACTGGGGTGAGGTGGAATCCCAGTGTTGTGTGGATTTACATTTCCTTTCTCGTAAGGATGTTGAACACTTCTTCACGTGTTCATCTGCCCTTTGTACTTTTGCTGTCTTTTTAAACAGTACTCGAGTTGAACTCTAGTTCTTGTGTTCTTTTTCCTGTATTGGGGATTGAACCCAGGACCTTGCACTTGCTAGGCAAGCTCTACTGCTTGAGCCACGCCCCCAGCCCTCGACTTCTTCTGACTGTTTGATTCATTTGCTCATTTTTAAATTGAAGTATTTGTTCTTTGGTATTTAATTTTTTGAGCTCTTTAATTGTTCTGGATATTAATCCTGTGTCAGATGAGAAACCGGCAAAGATTTTCTCCCAATCTGTGGGCTGTTTCTTTGCTTTGAGGATTGAGTCCTTTGCTCTGCAGAAGCTTTTTAATTTGATGCAATCCCACTATGTCAATTCTTGCTCTTTTTTTCTGATCTATCAGAGTGCTACTCAGAAAGTCATTGCGTGGGCCTGTATCTTGAAGTGTTTTCCCTATAGTAGTTTCAAAATTTCAAGGCTTACTACACTGATGTCTTTTGAAGTTATTTTTGTGCAGGATGAGAGACGGGTCTAGTTTCAGTCTTCCGCATGCAGATATCCAGTTTTCCCAGCACCATTTGTTGAAGAGGCTGTCTTTTCTCCAATTGATGTTGCTGGTGCTTTTTGTCAAAAGGTGTCAAAAGCCAAAAACCACATGACTAGCTGTGTGGGTTTAGTCCTGGGTCTTCTGATCTCTTCCATTAGTCTGTATGTCTGTTTTTGTGCCAGTGCCATGCTGCTTTTGTTACCATGGCTCTGCAGGAAAATTCCAAGTCTGGCATGTGAAACCTCTAACATTGCCCTTTATGCATAGGATTGCTTTGCTATTCATGGTCTTTTAGGTTTCCACATGAACTTTAGGATTAATTTTTTGTATTTCTTCGAATCCATGAACATGGGAGGTCTTTCCACCTTCTAGTGGCTTCTTCCATTTCTTTCTTCAAGGTTTTATGGTTTTTGTTGGAGAAGTCTTTCCCCTTTATAATATGTTTATTCCTAGGTGGGTCTTTTTCCATGAGTTATTGAGATTAGGATTATTTCCCAATTTTTCCTCAGCCTGTCCATTGTTGGTGTGCAGACAAGCTATGGATTTTGGTGTGTTGATTTTGTATCCTGCTATTTGCTGAAAGTGTTATCAGATGTAGGAATTTTTTAATGGAGTCTTTTTATTCTGTGGTTCTGGGGTTTGATCTCAGGGCTTCACACTTGCTAGGCAGGTGCTCTACCACTTGCACTGCACCTCCAGTCCTTTTTGCTCTGGTTATTCTGGAGCTGGGGGTCTCGCCTTTTGCCCAGGCTGGCTTGGACCACGACCCTCCATTTTGCATTCCTGCCATCATTGGGATGAGAGGTGTGCACCACCACTCTTAGTTTTTCTCCTTGAAATAGGGTCTCACAAAGTTTTCTGCCTGTGCTGGATTGGAACCACTATGCTCTCAAACTCAGCCTCCCACGTAGCTTGGGGCCATAGGCAAGCACCACTGCACCCAGCTGTTGGTTGAGATGGGGTCTCTCAGACATTTGCCCGGGCTGGCTTCAACTTTGATCCTCCTAGTCCCAGTCTCCCAAGCAGTTAGGATTACAAGTGTAAGCATCAGCACTGGGCTTAGGGTCTTTTAAATTATAGGATCATACCTGCTGCAAATAGGGATAATTTGACCTCTTTTCCTATTTATATCCCTTTTATTCCTTTTGCCTTATGGCTGTAGCTAGGAATTCCAGATAGACAGACAGACAGATAAATCCAGAGATATCTATCTGTCATCTATCTATAGGAAGAGTGGGGAAAGTGGACACCTTGTCTTGTTCCTGACTTTAGAGGAAGTAGTCTCAGTTTTTTACCATTTAGTGTCATGTGAACTGTAGGTTTATCAGATACCTTCAGGTACATTCCTTCTCTCCCTAGTTTTTGCTGAGCTTTTATTATGAAAGGATGTTGGATCTTGTCAAAGTCTTTTTTGTATCTACTGAGCTGATCGTGTGGTTTTCGTCCTTTATTCTGTTTACGGCTGTATCATATTTACTGATTCATGTGTGTTGACCATCCTCACATCCCTGGATGAAGCCATATTGATCATGGCATATGATCTTTTTGATGTGTTGCTGAATTCAGTTTGCAAGTGTTTTGTCCATCTTATTTTCAATTCTGATATTCTTTCTTCCACTTGATCTTATCTACTGATAGTGTTCTCTACTATATTTTTACTTGATTTATTGAACTGTTTATTTCCACAGTTTTTTTTTCAGGATCTCAATTTCCTTGATAAATTTCTCCTGCACGTTGCTGACTTTCTTATCTAACTAAGTCCTGAATTAACTTCCTCACTTAATTTATCTGTTTATTTGAAACCTCTTTGAGGTCATGGATCATTTTTTGAAGTTTTGTCTTCTTTGGAATTTCAGCCATTTCAGCATTTTTTGATTTAGTTGTTGAGATGTTATGAGTTTTGGATGAGTCATAGCGCCTTGCTTTTTTACATTACTTGTGTTTCCATGTTGCAATTTGCCACTCGGAAGAGGGAGCACATACAGCAATGATGAGGCCACCAATTGAAAAGCAAAGCAGAGATTTCAATGAAGTAAAAATATGGAAACATCATCTACAATAAGGTTAAAGAAGAGAGGAGCTAGGGTTCTTATTGGGTAAGCTAAGTGCTCAAAATTGTTAAATGTATCAGTATTAAAGATTAAGTAACAAGCCAGGCCCTGGTGACTCACACCTGTAATCTTAGCTGCTTGGGAGGCTGAGATTGGAAGAATCAAGGTTTGAGGCCAGCAATACCTCCAGTCCATTTTGCTCTAGTTATTTTTTGGAGGTGGGGTTTGAACTCAGGCCTCACTCTTGCTAGGCAGGTGCTCTACCACTTGAGCCACTCTACCAGTGAAGGATTCTTTCTAAAAAAGAAAAAACTTCAGCAGTCTGAATATGGAAGGTGAGTTATTGAAAAGTCTGTTAGTAATTGATTCCTTATGAATGCCAATTACAAATCTCATTCAAGATTATAACAGTGTAAAAATTTAAATTTGCTCATCTAGCTAAAATGGTTGAAATCATTGAATCTAGACAAAGAAGGCTGAATGAAAATTGATAATGGGAGGCAGTGGCAATTTGTTTTGTGGTCTTTAGAATTCTTACCTATTCAGAATATCTGTTCCAGGAATACTGTCCTGAACACTGAGTGTCTTGCCAGCTTTTGCTACCATAATGACTACCTGAGACAGACTAACTGTGTGAGAAAGAGGCTTAGTTAGCTCATGGTCCTGGAGATTCAAAGTCCAAATAGCATAGTGGAGGCTCAGTGAGGGTCTCCTTTGGATACATCGCCTCAAGGTGCACATAGCAACGGCACCTTGTTGGAGCAAGTCACCTCTCACCAGGAGCAGAGAAAATGGGTGGGGCCAGGTTTGCTCCTTTTGTAACAGTCCTCTCCTGAGACCCGCCTTCCATGAGCACACACCCAATGGCTAAGGCCCTCACAGAAGACCCACCCCCTAAGAGTGCCACTGCCTCTCTGGTGACCAAACCAACACATGAACCTTGGGAATGACACATGAAGCCACAACCAAACCATAGCCTTGAATAAGAGCAGTGAGAAAGTGTTGATGTGCAGGAGGCAGAGCTGAGCTCAGGAGTCACAATGGAAATCTCATGGGTCGACATGCAGAAGGAAAATGAGCACTCCTCTATTGTCTATATGTTCTTGCATACAGCACACAGACACAGTGATCTCCAGTTAAAGATGGCTTCTCAGCCGCTGTACTGTGGATCTGGAATGCCCCCAGGGGCCCATGTGTTAAAGGCTCCATCTCTAGAGTAGCACTATTGGAAGGTAATAGGCCATTGGGTGCATGCCCTCAAAGGGGATAGTGGGCACCCATTCCCCCTTCCTTCTCTCTTTTTGCTTCTCAACTGCAATGGGGTGAGCGGTTTCGTCTGCCACAGGCTCTTGCCATGATATGCAGCTTTGCAACAGGCCCCAAAGCAACCAGGCCAACCAATCATGGACTGAAATCTCCAAAAATGTGGGCTAAAATTTAAAAAATCCTTTTAAAGGATTTTGAAAGTTTATTGTCTCAGGTATGTTGTTACAGTGCCAAAAAGCTGGCTAATATAGCCTCTACATGTGTGCTCAGACATAAAAGAGTATTAGGCCACTTGTGATTCTTCTTCACACGTGCTACCCCAGAGACTTTATCACTGTTTGTTCATTCATCAACTGTTTACTGAGTATTACAAAATAGCATGCCAGGAACTGGAGTTGAAGATGAGTAAGTCCCTATCTGCTATTCAAGGTCATAGTTCAGTGAGGGAGAACTACAAGTCAGTTACCAACCACATCCCAGATAGTGGTATAGTCAGGCTGTGCGACAGAGGCCGCTGAGTCAGCCCAGAGCGGGAGAGAGATTTCTGGGAGAAAAAAGGTGCTGGTAGAGTAGAGAAGGCTCCCAGAGCAGGCAACACAGGACTTCAAAAATTAGTAGGGTTTTAAAATGTAGTCATGTTTTGGCTGAGTAGTGTACTAAGT